ATATATATTTCACATATCAAACGATACATGTTACTGAATACTTACTTGGCAAGCGCCGATTCCAGCTTTATTCAACGTACACAAATGGCTTTTTATTAATTGGCTGTTGTCCATAGAATGCTTCTCTGCACTCGTCCTGACCGACTACGGCCTGCTTCATCTTGAGAAGTTCTTTTGAAGAAGGTCCACCGGCTTTTGTATCACCCCATCCTGACAATGTGCACATCGTGCCTGGGGTTGGTCGCTTGTCGGTCAATTTAATAGGACGTTGAACATTGCTAAACTTTATCGCATTCTTGAGCTGAAACGAATAAGGCAAATGAGTGAAATTCACGACTGAACTGAACGAAACAGTATGAAAAAGAAATATTAAAATTATACAGTTTTAACTGAAAACTTTTAAAGAATGCTAAATTATACATTTTGAAATTAATATAGACTTACGATGATCACAGCGATGTCATTCACCCAAGATGCCTCTCGTCTACCATCATATCTGGGATGTATAGTAATATTGTGTATTTCATGAGATTGTCCTTTGTCAACATTAATCATTCCAGTATCAATCGTGCATTTGTTGGGTGAAACACAAATGCCCTCCACACAATGAGCGGCAGTTAAAATTTGTTTGGGGCCAATGATAGAACAACCGCAAAAATGCTGCCCGTTAACTCTTAAGGAACATTGCCACGGGAATTCGCCCGGCGCGGCACGCTCACCGCCGACGATCGCTTCGGGTGCGTCAGCGAACGTCTCTGTGAATCAATGTATACAATAAAGAAATATTTCTCGTAAAACGATCTACATCGTTTTAGGCACGACAAATGCGTACAGATGAATTAATACAATATTTCTTGCAGGTACGAGAATAATAATATTTCGTTGAATTATTCAACGCGTCTTTACTTACGTTGCGCAAAAACGCCAATCACGAAGATAACAGCTAAGAACAGCATATCTGCAAATGAGTGCAAGCTGAGTCGAAAAAGTAAGTTCGAATAGCATCTTCCTACACTCTTATATAGAATTAATATCCGTATTTACGCCTCGGTGAGCAGCTGGTCGTATTTCTCACCGTGAGTAAACTCGATGACGTTTGTATACTGCATTTTTACCAAACGGGTGAAACTATGGAAAATTGCTCTATTACATCGCACAATATAAATTAGATGTGGTAGAATAATGTGACATGCATAATTGTTAAACATATTTATCTGTTTTCACAAGGAAATTTATTACACAATTATGTCTCGGTTATCATCGCTATTATTTATATTCGTACAAAACGTAAAGTATCGAATAACAAATAGAAATAGTATATTCAGCTTAATTAACATTTTTTACTAATAAATAAACCTTATTAATGTACCCTTGTGAATAATTATAATAGCTTAATTGGCAAACATTTGTAGGAAACATTTTTATCAAATATAGCGCAATTTTATACTTCATTTTTTATTATCCGTAAAAACACAAACATCATTTTTGCTTTGCATATCTATTCCATAAATTTAAAAATTTCCGAACTCTATGTACAATATATTAATCGGTAATTACTTATAAGAAGTTATATTATTAAATACAATTTTTATTGATTTTTACTCGAGCTGAAAACAAAATATTACATATTTATTGCATATTTATAATGTATTTTAAAATGCAATATTTTATGACAAAATAATATGCTATTTCTTGTGTTTAAAATTTTAATTTCCATAAATAAATTAATGTCACAACTTGTGCACCTTTATTTTATAAACTCGTTATTGTTGTCCAAAATAAGAATAAATTTCACGATTAAATAAACTTAATTAATTAATTAATTTTGAATTTTAATCGATTGAAATAAATTCTTATCTTAGACAACGCTAATAAATCGAACAGATCGGTATCTGTTTCACCTTCTATTTTTCGTAAAATTTTTTTTTTTGGCTGCGTGGAATAAAAAATTCTGTGAAATCGATCATCCAGACTGTATTAGCGTATGTACTTTGATTACAGAAAAAGATTTTTTATTCTACACAGTCAAAAAAAGGATAGTGTTTTTAAAAGAAGTCGGTAAAACAAACGACTCTAGGATCCCCTTAATAATGCACTGCTGCAAAAATTTGTCGAAAACAACATACATTATTGAACAAAAATGAACAATAGAAATTGATTTTTTAATTATGTTATAAAAATGGCTACGAACTCTTCGAAATACTTAACATATTTTAATAATGTATTGAACTTTGTTTAGATATTTA